ATAAATGTAACACACAAAATATTAAAAAACGCCCCTTTAAACGTAATTTAAATCTGAAACCTTACAGACTTTTTTTTTTTTTTTTTTTTTTTTTGATAATTTAATTGCTTTTGTATATAGTTTTTGTACTATAAGATGGCGAAAATATGTCAAAAAAAGAATGAATTTTATGAGACGTTTCAATTAAATTATGTTTGAAAAGAAAGTTGGATTAATTTAAATCGGTTTATTTGAAGTATCAGGGAATTCGTGGGAGCGAAACATGTTTTTCGTCACTCATTAATCAACTTTTCAAAACACTTTTCCCTTGACATTTTCTACTTGAAGGAGATTATTTTTTTATTGTTTTGGTTTTAATATGTACAAATTTTTCCTTTTTTTATCATTTTTCCTCTTTGAATTGAACATTTTTTTTATTTTCAATTTTGTAATTTTCTTTAATTTGCTCTTTGCCAGTTTATTTTGTTGTACGGAGAAAATAGGTTTAACCTTCAAATATTTTATACGGCATTTTATTTTTCGTTCCGATTTTCGAGATCTATATATGTATATATATTGCCTTTGTAGAGAAATAGAAAAAGAAAACCAGATTCGATTTTAATTGTTTTAATACCTATAAACAGTTTAATTCAATATTATGCAGCTTTCAACGACGGCAGCAATTGCAGAAAAGGCTCCACAAATTTAGAAACTTTGACATCTTTGTGTAAATAATCAAATAAATAAATGTGTTGTTGCCTGCATATGGATTTGTAGGGAAGGGAATGCATACAGAACCGATGATAGCTTAATTAAATTTATTTTACTAAAAGAAACCTTTACAGTTCTAGAACTTTCCTCAAAGTACTCGTATAGCACTTCTCAGTATCATCACAGAGCACAAAGTTGTTACACTTCAGACTACTAAGAAAATTAAACACAACGCAATGCAAAGATCATCTAAAAGGGCGAAGTTCTCATGTATATCTCAGTACTAGTTCATGTACTCAGTGTTATCTTTCATGTATATCTCAGTACTAGTTAGTACATTTAGTTCTGAACTAACAACAGAGCAGATGCTCTCTCAGGGAATTCTTTTAGTTTTTTTTTTTTTTTTTTTTTTTAGTTTTCCACCGGCCGCAAAGAAATCTCTAGTACTTTCCACTTCTCGAAATTACTGAAAGGCATATGAGGGCCGGATACGATTACAGTTACATATACGAAATTGGTTTTATGAATGAATAAATTTATTCATTCATTCATAATACCAATTACAGTTGTATATGAACTGGACCAAAGTCTCGCCAAATGGTCTCCCAGTTCGATGATTTTTGACTCGTCAAATTTGGCGATAAAAGTTAGTTGTCAAAACCCTCCCCGGCTTGGCGATACCTTGTCAGTTTAGAGAGATAGTCATTTATCAATGTTATACAGCAGTGCATATGTATTCTTACTTTTTCAGTAAAGCTTCGTCTCTTCATATTTTCATGCTACATTACATAAAAGATACCACAGTTTTATATATAATTTCCCTAAAATGATTTACATAATAAAAATTTCCTAACCGTATGAATTATCGAAAAAGATGTAGTTTTTTCTTTATTCATTGTTGATTGCATTAAACTAAAATTATGCATACAAATACGTGACCACACATTATTTGACTCAAATAAAAATTCGTTAAATGTTTTTTTTATAGAAATGTTTTGGGGGGTAAGTTGGAAGAAAAGACATTTAACCTCATAAAATTCCAACACTTCAATCTCTATTAAGTGAAAATGAATATAATCTCAGGGAAAATGCTGGAATTTCAATATTTTTCAAAAATTTCGGGAAGTTTATTCAAAAAATGTTTACGATTGCAGAATGTATACAAACTCGAAATATAAAATGTGATAAAATTATGAAATTGACACCGAGAGCATATAGAAAATGGGTGAAAATACACTTAATATAAAGAAAATAGCACATTAAAAAAATCAGTCAATTTCTATGGATTTGCATCAGCTGTGCTAGTTAAAAAAACTTTATTTAATATTATATTAAAAGTATTCAGACTAAGAAAAAAGGCTGAAATTAACTTGCTGTGGTTAAAAAACTATATTTAGTTTAAAAGGCTTAATAAAAAGAGTGTTATAGAATCGAATAATTTCGGCTTAAAGTATGTAAACCATTCGCTAATATTTTAATATACTGGAATTAATATCACCGAGTTCCATTTTGTTGCATTTGCTTTTGTTTTATGTAACATCTCAGTTTCCAGCAATTTTCTGTATTTTCTTGATTAAAAAAATGAAAAATGTGTAGTTAGTTATCTTCAAATACACGACGTTATTTCTCTAAAATTACTTTTTTTATAATTTGACATTGACAAAACATAAATATTTGCATCATTTGAAACACTTCTGTAACGGAAGTATATTACTAGGACCAACGATTGCAAAAGTCCCGAGAAGTACTTGTAAGCTGAGAAAGGGGCTGTGTACATATAAGCAAATACGTCTGGTGCTGCCGACTGCAATAAAAAATTAGATCTACGGCTAATTAGTTTTGAGTTATGCGAGACACATGCATACATATGTACCTATACACGTCACCGAAAAAGCCCTCTTAAATCGATTTTAAATCCATTTTACAATCTGTTTCGGAAAAAGTCTTTTATTCGTACAAAAATTCACGCAAAATCTCATCCAGATAGATTCCAGACCTGTTAAAATGGATATTTCAGGTTGAAATATGATATCCGAAATTTTTTGCGATTACAATACGTCCTTGACGTCGTACAAGGAACTACAAAGCAAAACCTACGGTCTGGAGCCATCTAAAACCCAAGTCAACCGTGGCACCATTGCAAAGGTAGTTAAAAAAGTCTGAAAGCTTTCATATTTTATGCTACACAAAAAGAGGCATTTTTTTCATTTGCATACGCATGCACGTTTCAAGAGCATTTGGGTTAAAGTTCGTTTGGGTTAAAAGTATTTAAAAACAGCCTATCTTTAGAATTTTCGATAACCAGTCTTGAGCTGGAGATAAAAATGTTCTTTTCCGTAGAGTGTTGCCACTGCTCGTTTATAAATTATTTAGTTTTCTAATCAAAAATTCGTTATAGTTTTACAAAATATGAAATACACAATAAAACAAACTCGAAATTAAAATTTGAGCTTCTCGGTGTCCATATTTTGGTGAAGAACTATATTATTCAAAATTTAATGGCTCTAGAGACCGTTGTTTTTTCCACAATGCGAAAAACATCCATACATTCATGCAAATTCTTCGTTATTTAATTTCTTTAAATATAATACAGGGCCAAAATATTTGATGGCAACAATTTAAAAGTGATTCAGACTTTTACAGTGATTTACTGCAAAATCCCGTTTCGAGATTAACAGCCCTTGAGCTAATGCTCCTTTGGGCAAAAAATTATAAATCTTTAATAGAATAGATGTCTTAAGTATATCAAAATTCTTAGAAATGTGTAGGATTTTCCTCCTTTTAGTATTAAAACAATATCAATATATTGAAATATTTGTATTTAATCGGTTAATTCTAATAATTTTGAAAATTTCGTTTTGAATCTACTAATTTATCTACGTCTATATATATTTGTATTAAACGTAAAAAACTGTGCGTATGAGATAGAGATAGCAGCTTTCTGAAATCAAGTATAAGAGATATATTTTCATTAGCTGTTACTGAATAATAATAAAACTGCTCTTCTCTTTTTGGTAAGAGAGAGAAAAATCGATATCTATTCTTCAAAGTGATCTCCTTAAGTAAAAAGGATTATTTTTGTTTAATTAAATCTCATTCTTTATCTCTTCCTCCAAAACTTATTGAATATACAAAAAATCATGATATAGAACATTTAATAAACAACTGATGTCGAACAGAAAAAAATTTAATACTATATTGGTTTGAATATTATTTTGTGTTTGAATAACTGATGAAACTTTTCTGAAAACAAATAATGAATTTAGAAAAAAGAATTAATAACCATTATAAAGGTAAATTCTTCTTTTGCAGTCGAAATCGTTTTCTTTTATTTTGTTGAAAATAATATTTACAGATAAAGAATTGCATCGCCCACGTGAACATTTATTTTACGGAAATAACGTTTTATTGCGTGTAATTTATAATAACGTATTTGCTAAGAAAATAACGTAATTTCACGTTTATAATTTTGAAATAAATTAAATATAAAAATTCTTTTGTTTTTCCTTAATGTGTTTCAAATAATGTAAACTTTTCTATTCAAAAGTAATTAGCATGTTTACGAGATTAATGCAAGGCAAAAGTTTACTATTGGGAACTTTTATTTATGGTAAAAATTCTTCTTTCTTTAATTTCTAAGTTTTGAATAACCAGTTAAATCCAATTTTTGGTCATTTTTTATTCAACTTATTTATTTATAAAATATACTGTCTTCCTTATGCGGACAAATTTCAACATAAATAATTTTTCGTTTCTTTTTAAAGGGCGAAGAACTGTAAAATTTTAGCGTTTTTTTTTTTTTTTTTTTTTTTTTTTTTTTCCCCTTTCGTTATACAGGCAAAATAAAATTGCTTTAAATTTGGCTAGAAATGGTACACCAAAACACAAGGGAAAGCAAATGAAGCAAGTTTACATCTTTTAATGTTAATTATTGTGTCTTAAATTTTCTGCCAATCCACTTTTATTACTTTATTTTATTTCATTTTTTTATTAGTGAATAAATTCTGATTGGTTTGTTAATAAGCAAAACACTTGAAAATCACCTCCCTATGAATGAAATTTCAATTAATATCAATACAATCACTTTAAAAAAATGCGCTTATATAATTTTATAATACTCCATTGATATTTTAGACTATTTTAATGTAATAAATTTGAAAATTAATCTCCTAAAATTAATTCCTAAAATTAAATATCAATAAGAATTTAATGTTTAATTTTTATCCAAAGAGGTTATTTTTCATTCTTCCTAGAAATAACTTCAAAATTTTACACCATCATAGTGATAATTGTACTCTTTTTTTTCTTAGAGATCTTTCTGAAACTAGCATTAGTTACTTGCCTATCAAGGGCCTGGAGGAGTTGGAAGTGCTGAAACTAGTTGAAGTCTACCCACTCAAAGTATTCCCGTCTGTCTACCACTTCAAGTACATCAAAGAAGCATACTTGACCTATCCTTACCATTGTTGCGCTTTCAAATTCCCAGCAACGCACGATCCTGAAGAGTTCTCGAAGTATTTAGCCTTCAAAGAAAACATGGAAAATATGTACTGTAAGCAAAATCCTACGACAACAACTCCTTCCACAAAACCAACAACGGACGATGATGCTAATAGAAAAGTTCGTATTGTTAAACGTGAATACGTTAAGAAAGGCCACACTGTTAATTTAAAAAACAAGCAAAATTTCTCTTATTTTTCTAAAACTGAGCCTCAACGCGAAACTCAAGTGAATTATTCTCAGTCAAGAGGTAGACACCGTAAGCACAGACGGCATTTAATTTCTCTTTTACCTATTAAATTAGGCAGTATGTCCAGAAAGACAAGGGAAAATGACGAAACAAAAATAAATGACTTAATAAGTAAAAGAAATAATACACAGAAAACACGATCGTCAAAGAACTGGATTCGCCATACAGCAGAATGGGGTGGATTATCTAAATCTGAAAAATCAGTGTATCATGATTACTGGTTCAATGTCTCTGAATCTGAAGACTTCTTCGGCAGCCACATATCATCAAAGAGGCGGAAGCCTAGCTCGCAGAAAAATACGCTGGATAACCCATTTGAAGGCGTATTTCATGGCACTACTGTTGATGTTATCTCAGAAGTGGAACTTGAAGCCTTCTGCGGTCAGCTATCTAAAAACTACAGAGATGTCGAATGTTTTCCATCTCCTGATGCCTTTAACCCTTGCGAAGATGTCATGGGTAATATGTTGCTCAGAGTAGTGGTGTGGATAGTCGTCGTCACATCCGTCATGGGCAACGTAGCTGTCATGGTAGTGCTTATGAGTACTGGTGCCTGCAATAGCGTTTCCAAGTTCCTCATGTGCAATTTAGCTTTTGCAGATTTCTGCATGGGTTGCTATTTGCTAATGATAGCAGCGATGGATCTTCACAGTATGGGCACGTATTTCAACTACGCGATTGACTGGCAACATGGTAATTTTTTAAATACTTTTAAATTGTAATTTGTATATTTTATTTGTCTGATGTTTGATAATTTATTCAATACAGCAGGGAACTCTTAATTTTGATCACTTACACCTAAGCTTACATCACTTACACACAACCACTAATGAAACTAATCGTTCTTAGATAGTTGATGGTTAATTTAAAATTCAATGCTAATGAAACTTACCATCAATTTTCATACCTTCACAATTTCCAATCTTTAGGCTAATAGCAAACAATGCCGGTGAAATTAAATTGGCAAATTTTAATAAATAATAATTATGGTTGCAGAAAATTGCAGAAAAAGATAATAAGAACAATAATAGAATAAAAAGTGGATTCTTGCATATTAATTGACTGTCTGAGAGTTTCTTTTAAGTGTTTATATCGTTCTTTTACATAATTTCGTTAATTGCATGAATGCTGAAGAAACATTTGTATGTTTTTCTTCAAAGAGATAATATTTGCTCTTTGATTCAAGAAATTCATCAGAAAGATAGTGTTGAACATATAACACGTTATATTGAAGAAGTTTAATCTATAGGGATATAAATAGAGTAATTACAGATTGTTGAAAGTTAAACTTTCTCTATTTTAACTTTTATATTGTTTTTATTTTACATATCAAGCTGTATATACTATACCTCACTTTAGTGTAAATGAATGGCAATTGATACGTAATCTTAACTGAAAATTAATTTAAAAACGCATAATTTTATTTCAAAAATATCAAGATATTAAAGGTCATTTATACTGGATATTACATTATCATCAGATATCTATAGATAAACTATCTAGTTAAATGAAAATGTGTGAGAATCTGGTATTTAAGTTTTACATTAAAAAAGTTCACTAGATTTCAACAGCAAAAACTGTAGATAAAAATATTTTTTTGAAATTTTGATAAATAGTATTCCAGTATTGTATATGAAAACCTGCAGCAACTGATTCTCAGTCTCCAATAAATTTTTCCTTCTTTTATATGTCATTTTCATAGGTGGAACATCACGGCAAATTGTATTTTGAAATAACAGCATAAGCAGAGTACTGAAAGCTAGATTCTTATAACATGATCATCATTGTCTGTAATCATTTTCTACCTGGAGACAGGGCTGTCACTAAATATTTTTAGGTAGCATATTGCACATTATCAAATATTTCTATTTTTTCTCTCTGAAAAAGGTTGTATTAATTTGACAGAAATGGCAAACCTATATAATAACTATTTGTAGATTACACAGAATGCCAAGTACAAGATAAACCGACACCAAAGCAAGCGAAGAATGTATGAATTGTAAAGCGATATTATGACAAACTTGCTTTGATATCGGTTTATCTTGGGCCCCCGATATGAGGTAGGTGAGGCAGGAGTTTCAAGTAGGATTCCCTGTCGTTTTAATGTTAAATTTCATAAAGCATGAGGCTGGATTTTACAATCGAACATAATGACTTTCTGTTTATTTTCGTAACTATTGCTGCAAGCCTTATTCCAATTTTTGCACATAAACGAGTAAAATTAGCACAATAGAGCTTCAAAGTATTCTTTCATCAAATTTCAGGAACTCATAATTCTTTGAATAATTACTCGGAAATATCAGCTGTTGATAACCAATGGCATTTGATGATGGGAATTTTACTTAACTATTATATCCATGAAAGAATTATTTTGTCGTCAATATAGAAAGAAGTAGAACATGACAATGCATTGTAATTTGCGATCCTTTTGAAAGAACATGAGAATACAGTCTCTATCCCTATTTTTGCCTTCTTAATTTATAGCAACCTATTTTCCTTTCCTTTTTACTTCCTTGTACGAAGTAAAAAGGAAAATATTGTAATCGCGAAAACTCTCAGGCAGCATATTTCAACGAAAATATCCATTTTGACCGCTATCGAATGCAATTTAACGATGTTTTTGCGTAATATCTGTACGTAAGGACAGAATAAAAGACTATTTTCCTCCAAAAAAATTATAAGACTGCCTTAAAATGAATTCTGAAGAGAATTTTTCGTGGCGTCTGTACGAACGTATGTACGTACGTACGTATCTCGCATAAATCAAAAACGAGTAGCCTCAGAACGTTGAAATTTTGTATATAGGACTGCTATAACATGCAGATGTGCAACTCGTATTTTGGTTGCAATCGGCCACACCAAACGTATATAAATATATTTATATATATATCCACTCTGTTACCCGGCTCAGTGATCTCAGTTTCTTTAGTCTTATATGTTTGTAAATTGTACATTTTTTGCTTTAAAAATGATTAAATTATGTTGTTCTCATCTTCCGGTTCAGGTTTTTATGCCTTTAGTAAATCTATATGCAATATTTTTAGAATTATCAACAATTTTAAAGTTGTTTAAGTGCCGCTAAGCTTAATAATTTTTTGATGGCGGCCATTGCTTGTTTACATTTGAAACAGCAGACTAGTGGATTTGTTGCCAATCTAGAGAACTTAGCTTCGCAACAACAAAGATAACGCCTTCATTTATTATTGCGAATTAAATCATGCTTAATCCTTTCTGGAATTTTTTCGAGGAACTAAGTGTTTAAGATTTACTTCGTAATTTTTAATACAGATATTTTGAGTTTTTATGTATTTTTGCCTTGTCGCGAAGTGAGAACTGAATTAATTCAATGAGAAATACTCAATCGTCTGTGAAAAACTGTTTCTTTTTTGTTTTGTTTTCTTAATTTCTTTTATACATCGTTCTAGCTTTATTATAGTATTTGAATAGAACATGTTGCAAGATTCGATAATTCTTGAAGTGATATAAATTTTGTGCATTCTGAGTTATAATATGAACGAAATATAATACTGTTAAGTGAACCTAGCTCCAGAGTGTCGCTATGTTAAACAAATAGAGTGAATTTTAAAGAATGCATTTATTCTATTGTGGTTTATGCGCTGTCGGCGAAGTAGATTTAATTCAATCCAATACGTTTAAATGAAATGCAAGAAAAAATGCGTATAATTTAATATGTCGTACAAGGGAGTCATGTGGTGTACACATCAGATTTTTTTCATTGCAGATGAGTGGAAAAAAGTCACCATTCATACTTTCAAATACTTTTAACAAAGTGCGTAAACCGCATTTGGAGTAATTATCGCTCAAAAAAATGCCAAATTTCAAATCTGGCCAATATGTAAATTCATGTATATCTTAGGAAATTTTGAATAAAAAACTCTACTTTTTTGTAGGTGGGCCTATAAATACATCTACTTTAAGATGATGTTAAAAGTTTTATAGGTTATAATACAAATAGGCTATAATACAATTTTATAGGTTATAATACATCTTTTCGAAAGATTTATAAAAAATATTTGAAAATACATATTTTAAAAATAAATCATAAAAACGTGCGAATTATATTTGCATTAAGCGAAGTTATACTGTCACCTGTGACGCTCAAAGCTCTTGCCAACGACAAGCACAATCTCTGCATTCTTTGCAATGAAAAATTTTGTGGACTTGTTCTGATGTTACTGTCAGACAAGTGAGAAAAGTCACAACACAGGAACAACAAAAACCATTAAATATAAATTTGTATCAATGCATAAGCATATCGTTCTAAACACGATACAGTTAAAACATTGATAACTTGATTGTTGCCTAAGATGAAATTACTCGAGGCCAAACTAGAAAAAGACAAAACTACGGCGAAAGTTACGGACTCCTTTTAAATCCCTCAGATAACTTACAAGATCTCCAAGTGAATGAATGAATAGGATAATTTTAAAAATTAATAACTGCTTATTCGGTTAAAATCCAGCTTCAAATTAGCAATGCTAGCATGAACAACATAAAAAAGCTGAAACACTGCATTCTAAACATTACGTAAAAAAGGAAAGAATATTTTTCTTAATAGCAAATAATAAACGTTGCCATTCAACAACATGAAAAGTAATAACAAAAAGTTGACAATCATAGGTGAAATAGTAGTTAAGTTTAAATAATGATATTAAGCATAGCACAGTCTTTAACAATGCGTTATGCTTGTTTTCAATTCAAGCATAGTCCGTACGCTTCCTAGACATACATGATCTTTTTGGAATTCCCATTACCAGAAGTCACAGAGATTCAAGTTCGGAGAATAAGGAGGCTAGGCAGTCGGAAAATTCCTCAAAATTGCCCAATCATCTCGAAAATCAGCACAAAGCAGTGCCTTCACAGGTCTGGAAATATGAGATGGTGCACCATCTTGCACGAAACCAGCAAGCAGTCTCTAAATATTCTCGTTCTCTTTATGTAAGACCATCTAGTTGAAGAAGCTGGCAGCAACGGCCAGTCGGGTGGAAAAAATTTAAGGGCCAAAGAAATAGGGTTCTATCCAAAGAAAAAGTTACCAAGAATGAAATCAGCAGTAAAACTACACTAAACAATAATATAATCAGGATCAGGGATTATTCGTGCACAACATTAGGAATTCCAGTATTTCATATGCGACAGTTTTGAATATTAACTGCACATTTAGGGCAACGGTCGCCAACCGGTGGTCCGTGAAAACTTTTGATGGTCCGCAGGTAAATTGGGACATTATTTATATTTTATGAAGATTCAGTTTAAAAATTGACGAGTAACAAAACCTATTATGGAATATGGATTATACTTCTTTTTAATTTTAACTACTACGTTTAGCTAAATTCCTTCTGAATTTAGCGATTTTTTAGCTACTTTTGCAGGTATACCTAGCGACATTTAAATATGAGAGTTGACAGCCATGGATATGCTGCTGCTATCAATAATAACGCGAACTGGAATTCTCTTTCCTTTTGAATTACAAACATATGCTATTGTAGTCGTTAATAGCATAGTTTTTCTCCGTGTCAATAGGCAACTTGATGGATTTTTATGAGAGCCATCTGCATTCTTGTTTATAATTGCACCACTGGAAATTTCCGTTTTTTGTTTTATCTAACTGCTGATCGATGGCGCCATTGCTGAGTAAGCGATGATTATCATGTTTACACTAACTAAAAATT